ATAATTATACACTTTACAGATATTGAAAATCGAGCTTGTTAGGTAAGACTTCAACAGCCCTGAAGTATATTCCCAAGCCAGGGAATTTCTAGAACAGGATATGGCATAAGATGCACAAAGTTCGTACTTTCCCAGTCTATCTTTAAGGTATTTCACTTCACTGTTCATAGGACTGACTGGACAGAGCGACTTCTTAGAATAAATAACGGACTTCCAGAGAAATGGTTTCTAACTACCTCCACACACGTATTGATAATTAAGTCCAGTTCTGTAATAATATCGCATAGTATTTCCGGTACTAAAGGACCATTTTATTATCGATATTCCTTCGGTATTGCGCACCCTTAGATACGGTGTCTAGTAATGGATGGCATAAAAAACGTATGTGTTTAAAACTCCTATAATGAACCACCATATTGGCCTGCCCTTGATACCGAAATACCTTGTACTTGACTTGTACCAAACATTGTCTTTAACTACAATGCTGCAATATACTGTATAATGATCCACAACCACACTAGTCTTTGAAATGTTGCTACAATTAAAAAAGACCACTGGAGCATGTCATATGTTATCACTTATTTCTAGGCAATAAACAATCATAACAGATTAGGTATTGTCTATTCTTATTCTGCATACATTTTCCCAATACCTCTAGCTGTGAATAACAAACACTAACTTGCAGCTTTTTAAAACTCATTTAGTTTGCTTGACGTTTGTTCCTACCTCCGGGTGTCTCAGGTGTCTCAGGTGTCTCACAAAGGAATCCCATTGCAATATCACAAGACGTGGCTGTCAAATCGCCACCATCCATCATTAGGCAGGAATTAGTAGCATCACCAGCAGGCAAATCACTGAAAAAAAAGACACAGTGTTAAAATGCCTTAAATGATGTGAACGATAGTTTCAGTGGATGCTAATTTTAGCATTATAAAATGTTTGTTATGGCTTAATAAAAATCGAGAAACACATTTAACAATGTAACTCCAAGTAAGGAAACCGTGTGTTGCAAATGTGGTTAGATTTGCTTTGATGTTTAATATTGATTTCCCTTCTAGGGTTTAAAAGTTTTTTTTTTCAAAATATTTCCTAGCTTCTATCAGTTTTATTGACAGATAATGACAAGCCACCCAAAAGACTTAACAGACTTGAAATTAAAATGGTTCTTGAGAAATGACAATCTTACAAAACGCCCGGTGCCGTAGTGCTACCATCGTCCCAAACCCACTCGCTGTTATCCACATCCCATTGGGCTCCAACATAGAATGTATCTTCTCCAAACGTTGCCACCATGAAGTCCTACAGATAGGACAATTGTATTAAGAAATGAATTCAACAGATTGGTAATTTGATGACAAGGCCAATAATGCGAAACCGGTTGCAGAGACAACATTAGCATCTGGCCCACTGCAGTATCTTAGCATATAAGTTTGGTTGTCTGGTAAGATGACAAGCCACAATTCTTTCTTCAAATACGATATATGAGATTCAAAAGTAATAATACGGCGATGTTTGGTGAACCAGTCAAAAAGAGATTTTAACTTTCAGCAGTCCCATATATGTTTCAATGCACGCAATCATTGTTAACTGTAATTTTGAAGGGTTTTTGCAGCAGCAGGGTGTTCATTTAGAATAAAACAAAGTCTGTGCTAAAGTGAAGATTTGATAGTTATAATATGCACCAGAGGATAATACTAATATCAATGTTGGAATAAAATCTCTGTCTGGGCAATTCATGGATTAAGCAATGCCGACGTTTGTGAAATTCAAGACTTTTCTTCGAGGCTTAAATTCAATTTTCTTTTTGAATGGTTTATTAGGAAAATAGTAACATATATCCTAGAGTATATACATTGTAATTTTTTTTCAACGTAAAGCCCTAACATTAGCAAAAAATAGATACTTCTTAAAAGTAAAATCTTTCGTTCTCTTCTTTATATAATGATCTGACTGAAAAGAACCCCTTGAGTTATCACGCAACACAACACTGTAATCAATGCGATGCGTTGTTATGCAATTAAATTGATTAGCTGGTCAAACTGTACCGCATAGTATGTTGCGATCAATACTTTAAAGACAATATTTATGTTACACTCACATATTCTGCTTGGGAAGATACAATGGCCAAACTGCCACCACCTTGCAGGCAGATCAACTGTGCCTCATCCCTGTCATGTCCATCATGATAGCAGGATCCGTTAAAGGACATGTCATCCTCACACACTAAACAGATGGAAACAAAGAGACAGTGTCATCTACAGTCGAAGCAGACCCAGTAGCAAGTTTTCAACATTGTAGGCGAAAATGAACTGTATTAAATAATAGTAACTTGCAATGCATTATAGTCAAGCTAATCCAAGTATAGCAAATCTTGTTTTGAGATAAAACAAATAGTTTTGAAGCCTCTTACCATACCTTCAAAAACATTTGGAGCTTTTGTATATTTCGTGAAAATGAGTTTAGGTTTAAAAGAATCTACGCATGGTTAAGTTTACCTCCAATCAACTTTATCGTCAGCGCATATCAAAGTATTATTATCATTTTATGGAAAACTAATTAATAGAATTTTCTCATAAATTATGGAAATTAAGTCTCTATTTTCATTACTGCAGTTGTAGTTTTAAGAGTTCTTATCATATAGCCAGCAGCAGGGGATAGGATACTAGCAGTAGTATTCTGACTTGTATTATTAATATATTAAAACGTATTGTAATCCGTTTTGAATATTGTTTTTAAAATACAGCACAATTGGAAAGGTAAAAATGAAATTTGAATAGAAAGATAGAAAACATAATTTTTGACACCCCTACTAACTCGTTTCACTCGGTGGTTTATTCGGTGGTTATTGCACCCGACCAGGGATTATCTCACCATGTACACCTCGGGTCGGGGCATTAACCCTTTTTTATACCATAACGCCCCTGCAGTTCCGAAATTTCCGAATCTGCTAGAAGGCGCACCCCTAAACCTCTTGGTTTTGACGTCAACAGCTACCTTTCACTTTAAGTGCCAAAGCATAGCATGTTCAAAGCAAAAGATACATAGCAAACACTGATATAATAGAATTTCCTCCATAGTAATGCAACTGTAACAATTGTCCTAATTTACATTTATTCCGCGTTTGTCACCCTCGAAGCAACTCGCGAATACCTAGATTGATCGTTGAAATTTTGTTGCTTCTTTCTTCAGTTATACCCGTGCAGTTCCAGAACAATCTACTACAGAACCCACAGAGTATAAAATCTACTTCTACTTTTTTCCTCCTTCAAGCGCATGTTGAAAACCTGGGCTGACCTCTGACCTCATCTGACCTAATGACAAACGGGACGGTATATGGACTATGAGCATTCACGAGTTGCACATTCCCAGGATCCTTTGCGCCCAGGGTAGGTCACGTTGGCGTCAGGGTAGGGAAAGGTCGCGGTAAACCACGTGACTCATCCTCGGCTCTGGTCGGAAGAAGTCGGAAGTGTTCGCGAGCGCTCGGAAATTTCAAAAATGGCTGACACCACTGCCGGCGGCGGGAGGTACGTAGTTTTTCACGGCGTTCGTACGGCGTTCGTACGGCAAAGCGGCATCGAATTTTTGCTCCATGACTATCGGTATGGGATAGGATAGGGTTGATTCAACACACTACGTGAAAATGTGAATGCTCCCAGCCTACTATCGGCCAGATATCGCTTTAATAGGGCACCTTCTTCCGACCAGAGCCGAGGATGAGTCACGTGGTTTACCGAGACATTTCCCTACCCTGACGCCCACGTGACCTACCCTGGGCGCAAAGGATCCTGGGAATGTGCAACTCGCGAATGGGTACTGGCTTTGTATTTTATGACATCTTTGTTTTGTCCTGTTGTTACTCTTGTATGTTTTACATTGTTTTTGTTCCTTGTATCATATACGTGTTGTATGTACTATGTGTCCAGGGCCCCGCTGTAAAGCAGTGCGTAGCCACTGAGAGGGTCACCCTGGTTAAAGAAAACAGAATTTAAAAAAAATCTTGTTCCTCTTCTTGTCTATTACAAGAGTAATTATCGTACATGCAAAAAATCACGGCCAAGGCAAGTACAAAACACGATATATTGAAATATGACGTTCCTGTAGGATCTACAAAAGTGCCGGGGTAGGGGGAGGGACAAACTCCTAAACATTTCCAGCTGTTGGTACACCCTAACATAACACACAAAATATACCAATCGATTCAAGCGTTCTTAACGTAATCTAGATGATATACAAAAAGGTTCTTATCACACTTCAATAATAGATATCGATATCAATTTACCTTTTGGGGGAGTATGTGTATTAACCCATTCGGACCATATAGGAACAGGTTCACATATTGTGGTTGGCGCCGGTGTAGTGGTTGTTGGAGGTGGTGTAGTGGTCGTTGGAGGTGGTGTAGTGGTCGTTGGGGTGGTGTAGTTGTTGTTGGTGGTGGCGTAGTGGTTGTGGGTGGTGGTGTAGTGGTTGTTGGAGGTGGTGTAGTGGTTGTTGGAGGTGGTGTAGTGGTTGTTGGAGGAGGTGTAGTGGTTGTCGGTGGGGGTGTAGTTGTTGTAGGAGGTGGTGTAGTGGTCGTTGGAGGTGGTGTAGTGGTTGTTGGAGGTGGCGTAGTGGTTGTGGGTGGTGGTGTAGTGGTTGTTGGAGGTGGTGTAGTGGTTGTTGGAGGTGGTGTAGTGGTTGTCGGTGGGGGTGTAGTTGTTGTAGGAGGTGGTGTAGTGGTCGTTGGAGGTGGTGTAGTGGTTGTTGGAGGTGGTGTAGTGGTCGTCGGAGGTGGTGTAGTGGTTGTTGGGGGTGGTGTGGTGGTTGTTGGGTGGTGTAGTGTGTCGGTGGAGGTAGGTAGTCGTGTTGGGGGGTGTGGTAGTGTTGTTGGAGGTGGTGTAGTGGTTGTTGGAGGTGGGGTAGTGGTTGTTGGAGGTGGTGTAGTGGTTGTTGGAGGTGGTGTAGTGGTTGTTGGAGGAGGTGTAGTGGTTGTTGGCGGTGGTGTAGTGGTTGTTGGGGGTGGTGTAGTGGTTGTCGGAGGAGGTGTAGTAGTCGTTGGAGGAGGTGTAGTCGTGGTTGGAGGTGGTGTAGTCGTGGTTGGAGGTGGTGTAGTTGTTGTCGGAGGTGGTGTAGTTGTTGTCGGGGGTGGTGTAGTGGTTGTTGGAGGTGGTGTAGTGGTTGTGGGTGGCGGTGTAGTTGTAGTAGGAGGTGGTGTAGTCGTTGGCCCAGGCGTTGTACAAATCGTCATTTGATAACAACATTGGTACTGTACTTCATAATTCGAGCAGCTGGAAATATCATTCAATGTATGCTTAGACTGCTGTCAGATGAATGAAATCTTGTCCTGTTGGCACTTTGTTTCAACTGTTTGATCGTTATAAGTTCCTTAACACTTGGCTTCTTTTTATGGCATAGTTTTTTTCCAATTTGGTGTGCTCTTTCAACAAGAAACTATAACGAATATAAGTTAATAGTACATGTAGGTCGATTTTTATCGGATAATATACTTTTATAGTGAACTTACTTGTAATCACAAAAAGCACCAGGTGGTGTTAAGCTGCAAAGGGTGGTGTTATCCTCTGACCACTCCCCTCCTTCCAGGATGGTGTCTGATCCTACCTCCCGGCACCGAATTCCCATTGGCTCGTCACCATCACAAACGTCATAGCCGTTTTCTCGGGCTGACTCGACATCTTCCAACTCTTCGCCTGGTTCTGAAATTAATATATGCCACAGAAACAATAATATTACACTTTGTCTTAATTTTTAACATAAAAGAAGACTACAATCAGTGGTGTTGACGTACACACTGCCATTGGTAACTGGCCACAATGACTCACTGCCATTTATATTGAAAACAAACACTGCCTCTGGTACATACTATCATTTAATCGTGTCCATGATACGGATCTGGTATCCAAAAACTCTCTTACTAGTACTTACATACCACCTGTTCCTAGACCCTTGCACTGTCCTTTATACTGAACTGACAATGTCACGATTGTCTGCATGTCTATATAGTACCATCACAAATTTCTACTGAAACTGGAATATCAAATACTTCCCTGAGCACTGAACAATCATCAAAGAATTGGAAATACCTAATAAGTCTTCTTACTGTACATGGTATGTTTTCTTAAATGGAGCTTTGTTTGATGAATTATAACTTTTTAAAACTCTTTCTGGTAGTTAGTTTGCTTCGTTTGTTCCTACCTCCAGGTATCTCACAAAGGTATTGCCTTGCAATGTCACATGAAGTAGCTGTAAGAACACTCGCATCCATCATAAGACAAGGCTCAGTTGCGCTGCCATCAGGCGCACCACTGAGAAAAAACAAATTGTGAACATTCCTTGGAATAGCAATATGTGGGTAATGTTAGCATCGCAATATCACTGTATATACAAAATACATTCAAGGCCCTGCGCCATTATGTAACAATTTCACACCAAAACTTGAAATATTTCAATTGGAAGAAAAAAAAAACTTTTTTTCAACTTTTGACATATTTGTGCAATTACCTCGCATATCTGACATTTATGGTTGGAGCTAAAACTGGGGTGCACTCAGTTTGTGGTACTAGCACATACTAGAATGTAAACAAAACATGGCAGACAGTTGTGTTTCCAGGTATCTTTTAACACACTTATCAAGCGTCGTATTTTGGCATCTCCCCTCCCTGAATGGTACGTCTTTGCAATGGAGGGGTTGATCAACTTACGTTCCATGAAATGACAAGAAATTGACCTTTTGTAACATAACAGTGTAATGTAACATGTGGACCACCCTCTACATGACTTAGTTCCGCCCACTAGGTCAGGTGCCACGGGACGGTCACTCAGAAACTCTGGCACAATCAGTTTACATTAAGCCCGGACTAAGAGAATTAACAACTCGTTCCTTCATTGCGCTGTTCGCCTCTATAACAAGACAATCCAGCAGTAGTGTTATATATATTGTACCTAGCTAAATTCTTCGTGATAACTGCGTATTTAACCTGCATAGATTTTAATTGTGTTATCGTCTTAAAATTGAGGTCGCCTATGTTCGCCTATACAATCGTCTTAATATGTGTTCACCTACATGTATGTTGTTTTATGTGCACGATGAAGAGTGTTTTTAATGTTCTATATACTATTGTAATAAGGACGAAATTCGGGTATTCCCCCGCGAGATCCTTACTGAATAAAATTTGATTTGATAATTCAGCCATACATTTTACTTTGAAACACGTAATCCAAATAAGTACCAAAGCTATGCGATGATGTGGCAGAGTTTCTTTCGTGTTCAATACTAACTTTCCTTGTAGTATTCTTTTGTTTTTTCGAAACATTCCAATGTCCTTAAACAATAGTAATCTTACAGCAATTCAAGAAGGTCCAATCCCTCAGTGCTTCCATCATCCCAAGCCCAAGCAGTGCCTGTCCAATGAGCTCCAAGATAGAATGTCTCCGTTCCAAAATTGCTGACCATGAAACCCTAAAGACGAGACAAATACATCAATGAATAGGTTTAACAGGTTGGCAATGATGCTC